AAAGAAAGGTGACCCAACAGAATGTGGAAACTACAGAACAATCTCACTGATTTCACATGCAAGCAAGATTTTACTGAAGATTATCCAAAAACGACTAGAACAGCACATCAACAGAGAGCTACCAGAAGTCCAGGCTGGGTTTAGACGGGGTCGTGGTAATATTATATACATAAAGAAAAAAGTAACTATTACTTTCTGATGTAGGAAAAGTTGCCACCTGGTCTTTTACTTGGTAAAATATTTCATGACAAAAAGTCAAAGACTATTTTAAAAATAAAAATCAATCACTGAAAGTTCAGAAAGCTAGTTTTTATTAAACAAATTTAATAAGTGTGCTTTGGAGGGTGGAGGGACAGCACAGGAGGGGAAGGCCCTCTGTGAGGTGGATTGATTCAGTGACTAGGATAATCGGGATGGGAGTGTCAGAGACAGTGTGATTGGCACAGGATAGAGCAGGGTTTAGGGCTGTTGTACACAGGGTAGCTATGAGTCGCAAGCAACTCGACGGCACATAACAACAACAACAACAATTTAATAAGATTAATTATATTCATACTAGTTAGTATTCTAGGAAATATTTTGTAATGTCTTAAACTATGAAAAATTAGGTTTTATTTTATTTTTTTTTAAATTAGGTTTTAGAAATAAGTAGGTAAGAGTCAATAAAACATTAAAGCAAAACATTTCTTCTGCACTTATATATATTTTCCATAGGGGGCAGTCTTAGGAAACTCTGGATTTATTTAATTAAATTTCTGTGCTTGGAAAGTGAGGGTTGGGTGAAAATGAGGTAGACCCTCGATGAGAAGGATTAACACAGTGGCGGCAACAAGGGGCAACTACAAAGTGCTGGACCGGGCAATGTATTGTCTCTGGTATACAGACGGGGTCACTATGAGTCAGAACTGACTCAACAGCACCCAAGAGCAAAAATATGCCTTCAGGGAAAAAAAAGGAAAGGTATAAATTTCTTCTATATACTTTTAACCACAACAGCAAACATCTACTGTTGTTCTTAGGTGCTATCCTATGAACCACAGATCTGAACCTTGCCTTATCCTGTACCATCTTCACCATCTCTGATGTGTGCTTGAAACCATTGTTACAGTCACTGTGTCACTCTACCTCCCTGAGGTCTTCCTCTCTTATGCTGACCTTCTACCTTTCCAAGCACGCTGTCCTATTCCAAGGACTGTCAACTTCTGACAACGTGCCCAAGGTATGTGAGATCAAGTTTCACAATCTTCATCTCTAAGGAGCACTCTTATAGCACTTTACAAACATATTTAAGACATCTAAAATAGTTAAAACAGTGATTATGGGCAAGGAAAACTCTTACCTGGAACCAGACTCTCGTTGTAAATCCAAGGAGGCATTCTGGGTTGAACAGGATCCTGGGAGGGAAATACTCCCACACCTGAAAGATAAGGCATATGAGGGACATTAGCTAATGTATCAATGGCGCATGTGGAAGATGAGGGAATTCTATCCAGTCATGGTAAAGAATGCTGGCTGGAGACACTTTGAAAAAAGTCACCAATATAACGAAAATATTTGGTTTCAAAACAACTCTTGTATATTAATTACCAACGATAGATAAACAAAAAACTAAAAAATTAGAATGTGCCAAATCAATATACTGAATCATATGAGGCTTGTACCGTTTCATGTGTATTAGAAATTAAATGAAAAACATGATTGGCATTGACTTAAAAAGAAATGAAAATTTTAACTGTCCCAACTTGAATTGCCTACAGCTTTTAATACTGCTTCTTAATTTGAATATAATACCTCACATGTCTACAGTTTTTGTTTTGCTTTAGTTTTAGCAAAATTCAATAATTCCTTGTCCAATAAGATAGCCTCTAAATGTTTGCTTCCTGGGCTGCCCATATTCTATTGACATTCTGAAGTTTTATAAAATTTGTATCTTTGTGGGCAGTATGTGTATATGGCTTATTCCTGAGGAAGCAAAATAATATTCTCATTGGTGACTTTTCCAGCTGTAATTTTAACTTCTCAATTTTTATGGAAGAGTGGAAACTGGCGAGGGTGGGAGCAGGAGATAGGCTTTATAAAAAAACATGAGGAAAGACTTTCAAAAATAGGAATGATTATGATTAAGAAAACTGGTTATTAAAATCACTTTTTAGAAAAGCATAATAGTGTGTTGAAAGAATTCAGAGCAAAATCTTAGCGGTTAATTAGAGAAAGGGATGCATTAAATTTATTTTAAGAAAGATTTCACCAGCAAAATCAAGCAGCATTCATTTTAAGATTAATGCTTAAGATGTTAGCATTTAAGCAACATTTGGTTACACGAATTTCTCTGCTGTATGTTTCATGAGCTCACCACTCTCTTCAATTGACAGGTTTTGGTCTGAAGTCTTTTCTGCCTCTGCTGTGGTGGCACCACTTACACGTCCATCTATAGCACCCCCATTACTGGTCGTTAAACTAGGATGGTTCTTACTGGAACCTGGGCCCATGGCTTTATGCCCAACTTCAGAAGTATTTAATTTAAATTGTTCCTGCCCCGGTGCACTTATGTCACAAGATATTAGGAGCTTCTCCTCCAAGGAAGGCCCTAAACAAACAGCATGAAGAATTATTTGTATATAACTGCATATTTCTAATTTTCTTAATTATTCACTCCACTCCCCACCCCCACATTTTCTATATAGAAGGTCCTGCCACATAAAAGCGTGGATGTAATTTAATTACTGTATATTTGTGCAGAACTTGAGAGGCTCTAAGATTTCTGACAACTTACACATATATTATCAATTTTGATTCTGAAGAATCCTTTGAGAGTAGTGTATGGTGTGATGATAGCTGCACTAACTTTGAAATCTATAGACTTATAAAAAGATAAAGACCCAGACCCTTCTAATAATTACCGGGGAGACCTCTAGTATGTAACATCATTTCTAGATCTGTTGCCATATCTTTCAAAGGAGAATGAGAATTAAATCCATGACTCCTAAGCTCTCTCCCATTACTATACTGTATCTCAAAGTAGAGTATAAAAACAAAAAACCAATGTCACTGAGTTGATTCCGACTCATAGCAACCAGAGAGGACAGAACAGCACTGCCACGTGGGTATGTGCGGCTGGAAATCTCTACAGAAGCAAACTGCCACATCCTTCTTTTGTGAAGGGGCTGATTGGTTTGCACTGTAGACCTGTCTGTGTCACTGCAGAGAACAAAACCGAGGCATAGAAATGCATAAAGACTTTTCCAAGGAGAGTTGGACTTCTAACTCTAACTGCTTTGTCACTGAACCAGAGAAAACATTTTCTCAAGTAGCTTTCCCTAGCTCTTTATTCCTAAGAAAATGATACTGATGATTTTCCCAAAAAAAAAAAAAAAAAAAAGATTATTTTCCTTAAGAAATCATCTTGTTTTTGAAGTTCCAAGGAAGTTTTTTTTTAAAGTTGTTAAGAAACTGCAGTGTAATTCCGAAGGCTTATGGTTCAAATCCACCAGCTGCTCTATGTAATAAGGATGGGGAATCTCCTCCCCTGTGATTTACTGCCCCAGAAAACCTGCTGGAGGGTCAGCTGTGGGTCAGTTCTGACTTGACAGCACACAAGAACAACAGTACTTAGGAACAAAAGTTTTTAATCACTTTACTGGAATATGTCGTTGTTAAGTGCTGTCAAATCAACTATGACTCCTAGCAGATCCAAACCTTGTCCTATTCCTACACCATCTTTACACTCTCCATCATGCTCAGGCCCACTGCTGCAGTCACTGTGTCAACTCATCTGTTGAGGGTTTTCCTCCCTTTCACTACTCCTCTAAGCATGATGTCTTTTTCTACGGACTAGTGTCTCCTGAAAACACACCTAAAGTATATAAAACTGCCTAGAATTGAAAATATCTAAACTCTTATTTTAGATTTTAAAAAAAGACTCATGTAATTCATGCATAAGTTTCTTTACCAACATCACTACACTATTCTGCTTATATGACACCAGTACATTTTCCTAGATTATCCTAAGGATGTATTCATTGATAATGCTATGAGTTACCTGTTTTCTGTACAATGTGTGAGGCAGAGAAATAAGGAATTTTCCCGGGAATACCAGGTAAGGCAAAAGACACTTGAATCTGACCTGGAGGGGGAGGCTGTGCCCCAGCCTTCTGTGTATGCAACTGGCCAACTGGGGTGGTGGGATGGAAAGACTGAAAAGGCTGGGAAGTGGAAGGAGGCCCGCATATGGGAACTTCAACAGGCCCCTGCATAAAGTCACTGAATTCTTCTTCATCAAGAAAGGCAGGTGATGGGGAGACAATTATAGAAGAATGAGATGATGTGGGACAATCTGCAATGGAAAATGGCAATGAAACACATAGAGATGAAACCAACAGGGAAAAAGAAATCAAGATGTAGCACAATTTCAAAAGAATACACTGAAATACGAATAGTAGAAGTGAAACAAGAAATATCACAAATGGCTACAGCCAAATGAAATTATACAATGCATGCAAAAACACTTTGATGTCTATTTATATACATTTCATGTCTTTTTAAAAAGAAGTTTTATAACTATTTTGCATTTAGTTCAAACAAACAAGAAAAACTTCTGTAAAACTCAACTATCCTTCCTTCTTTGATGAGGTTAGAATGTTATTCTTTTTCCTGACTAAAACTACTAATAATTCACATCAAAGTGGGGAATATTTATGAAATCCAAATAATCTGTTTATCTAGATCATAATGTCTCAAAAACAGAGGTAATTAAGAAAAACCAAGCAGATGTAATAAGAAACCTACTTATACACTGCTGAATTTTACACTTCAGACAAATACATACTCTAAATTTCATTACAACAATAAGCAACATTGCACAATACAAAGAGCTTTGGACATAACATGCCTGACTACATACTTTGCATAAATCATACTACAGTAAAGTTATTCTATAAAAAAGAATATCACAAAAAATAACAAGAACATTTAAATACATTTATGAAGGTGACTTTTTAGATGAAAAACATAGAAGACCACAAAGTGCAAACACAATTTAACAATCAATTTATGAAAGCGAACCCTGGCCAATGACTATTTAAAAGATGTCTGAAACGATAGCTGTCATACTGTTAAAGATGAGATTCATTATGTAATAAATCTGCTTTACTACACTTGACATGAGTCTTCTTTAACAATATTATTGTTACTTCTTCACATTTTTAACTTTTTTTAATTACTTTAACATGTATTAAAACTTAATGCCACTGGATGGTGCAGGTTTCAGATTTGTTTATAGATCACTGAGTTGTACTTATCAACAACAACGTCACTGGAAGGGAGGAAGTGTCGGCTTTGACTGGTTGCTAACCTAGATATGGGCAATGTGAACCAACCAGCAGCACTCTGAAAGGACCGGCAATCAACTTCTATCAAAACTGAAAACTAAAACCAAATGACTGCCATCAAACCAATGTCAATTCATGTTGAAGAATGTAACCGCTCCAGAGGGTTTTCTTGGCTATTTTATTTTTAAATAATAAATGTGATTTGAATAAAAGCTTATGGAACAGCAAATCCATTTTCCTTTCAGTAATTTTACATACATTTGTAATTATCTCAATGTACAAACACTCTTTTCACTTCATCTTTAGCCTTCATTCCTACCTTCTGAGCTTTGTATTTGGGCAAATGATGCTCTTTTGGTTTTGTATGACCAGTGATTCTGAGAAGTATATTCCTCACAGGTTTTTGTTTGGCTAAATGTTATCCCCTGTGAGTAGATTCTGTTTCAGGTTTGACAGGTATCTACTGGCTTTTGGGTTTTTGGGTTTACTGGTTTTTGGGAGTTCTCCTAGTGTCTATTAGACCAATAACTCTGTTAATAATAGACTCTGTTATTGGTCTGATAACCTCTTTTTAATGAGGTATTACATTTCCCTTTACTCTGTCCAAGATCTTCTACAGCGGCACCACTTAGTTCTTCTGGTCTTTGGGTAGCTGAGACAGTGGTTCATGTGGTCCATTATTCCTCTCAGACTGTTTCCTTGAATATTTTACTTTGTTCACTCTTCGCTGCTCCAAAAAGGGAGAGATCAATAACTGCACTCACAAGCTTTTAAGACCCCAATAAATACTCACTTAAGTAGATACAGAACACTGTTTTTAAGGACTATCTACTTAGATGTCTCCCAAGACTATGGTTCTAAATTCCAAATCAAGCACAGCAACTCATTCCCTTAAGCTATTTGGTTTTAACTAGGACATATTTAAGTTTGCCCCTTGAATACTCTCCTGGATACATGCATATATGTGCCACACATAAAAATACGTATGTAGAAATATTCTCTGCTAAACTTACATATGTTGTTGTTGTTGTTGTTGTTATGTGCCGTCGAGTCGCCTGCAACTCATAGCCACCCTATGTACAACAGCCCTAAACTCCGCTCTGTCCTGTGCCAATTGCACTGTCTCCAACACTCCCATCCCAATTATCCCAGTCACTGAATCAAT